GCATAGTCTAAAGCAAGGGCCGCGTTATATACATGTATAAACAAATTTACTTTCTCTACTTCAACAGGATTTGTTGTATAAATAATTTAAAATGACGTGTAAATATAAATATACAATGTACTTTTTTAATACGGAAAGTTTTCAAAAATATGACTTAAAAACTTAGTTTATTATCAGACAGAATATTAGGAGATTTTTCTCCAACAGACAAGGACAAAGCGCGTTTTACAATATGCCAAGCCTTTTCCCGCCACATCTCACACCAAAGCAAGATAGAGAAAAAATGTAGTGGCGGATCTAGAGGGAATTTGGGGGTTTCACCATCCTCTGAGCGAGCGAGGAGCCCCACATAGTTGTTACGTTTTATTTAAAGTTAAACTATCTCTAGTTAGATAAGTTTAAACGTTAGATTTGATGGTTAAGTGTTACAACTACTTATAATTAAACATCAAACTTCCGCCAGAATTCGTTTGTACAAATGAAACTGAGTGCGGGGACGCAGAGGACTATGAGTAAGTTGCTTAAATACATTGTACATGTAGCAATGTACAGGTATTAACCCTGGAATGTCGCATTCAAATGTTTAATGTCATAGGGATATATATTAACAGATAAATATAAGAATTTAGTTTCTAATTGTATTATGAAAGAATTAATTAATTGGTTTGCGGCCGATTTTTGACGCTTGCGTCAATATGTTTCTTGTTATATATCTGAAAGGACTTAAAGTAATATACGCTATAACGTGCGCCATTTTAAAATACGGCTGGAAATTTATATATTTTGTTTACCAATAAAAGTTACGAAAATGCTGTAAATTACACCATTTAAATAAAATTCGTTATAAAGTTATCAAATTATAATTATTTATTATCCTGCAAGGAGAATAATGTCTATTTTTAAGTAAATCCACCACATGACGCCGTCGCTACTTTTAGATTGATAAACAAACACGGCGTCAAGAAAACGAGGTAAGCCCTTTGAGATACAACTCACTTTTGACATGGATGGCGTGTTACTATTAATATAACTTATCTTTAAATGTAATCAGTATCAACCATCTATACTCTGTTATGATGCATATTAACCTTTTATTAATAATCGTTGTCAAAATGCAACGTGCCTCGTTGTCTATAATTTCCCGTGGACATACGTGTCTATATTTAGACGTACTGTTTACGCACTTCCTTTATCAATATTCATGAAAAGACTGAATTCTTGATTGCAGATATTGCTTTATTGTTCTGTTATTACAACGAGTTTTATAGTTAAATTTTGTGGAAATATTATTTTTTCATTACACCTTATGTGTTTCAAATCATTTAATCATTTTGTTTCACATACAAATCGGCATCCATACGGCGTATATTACTTTAAGATATCCAAATATGGCGGATCGCAGATTCGTGCATAAGCCCCGCCCACCGTGACGACGGTAACTAAGAAGTGAAATGCCCGACATTCAATGTAAACAATATGGCGAGCGGGGTTTGTCTGAAGGACATTCCGGACGATTTTTCAGTGGCATTTCTGAATTATACACCAACTTTAAGACAGAAACAAAGGGCTATAGCCTTTGTTAAAGACTCGTACATAAAATCTGTGAAGATTTTTTCGGGGGAAACAGCGAATGGTGTACAAAGAACAAAGTACGGTATTAGCAGTAATTCGCCGAAAATAATACGATATTTTAATCTTCTTTGTACATTTTTTTGATGTTATGCTTTGAAGTAAGGAAGATGCGAACTAAATTCTACAGGCACAAAAATGACGTAATTTTTAACTATGACGTCACTAATGTGCGCTAAACATGGAATGGTCGTGTAAAATCGTTAAATTATATTGAAAAAAGAGTAATCTTTGCTGAAATTAGACCCTTTCACATACAACAACCACTTCTATACTCCGAATATAAGTTCATCATTACATATCGCAGATGCACTATTAAAATAGTGTCGGTTGTCACCTGTGATCAATATGAATTTTGCAAAAGTTAACTTACGGAAAAAAGATATTTTACCGACACAGTTTCCTGATATCGATATTAATGACGCATAATTGAAACAGAATGAGATTTTCTGATTTTAAGTACCATCACTGGATATCGTAAACTATTAAGGATGACGTTTACTCAGGTTTCAGAAATCAGAGAGGAAATTTTATAAAGTATAATATATTGAATCAAAGATTGTTCTAAATGGATGAAATAACTAAGTTTTATCTCAATATCAATTCAAAAAATTTAATATGTAAATACTTAAAGAAAATATACAGGAACAAAACTCAATGTATTGCTATGCAGAGGAAATTCGGATTAAATTTGTAATTTTTCATTTTTTGCAAAATTTTTATTTCTTGCAATATTAATCACAAAGTAAAGGTTACATGTATTTTAAGACATCATTTTTCAAATTTCATTTGTGTTTAAGCTCATAAATTATTTCAAATAAAAGAATGCTATGAAATAAAGTAATTCAAAAACATGTACAAAAACCACTGTAGTCAACATATTTCAATAATTTGATCATTGACCCAATATAATATTAATACCATGAGAATGAGGGTAACAAAAGTAGCCAGATACTATAAATAATTGAGTTCTTATCAGTCAGATTTTTGCAATATTTGATTAAAAATAGGGAAAGAACATAAATATGACAGAGGAAATTCGGACTGTAATAATTATCACGTTTATGGCCCAAACTCTACTCATTTCTTTATATGGAGCATCCCTGTTCCATTGCTATAATATTTCATTATTTAAAGAGTTTTGTTGCTTGTAATATTTTGTTAGTGAAGAAAAAAATGGTCATAGTGTGAAAAATTGAGGTATTTCCCAAGAAATATTCAGGGGCCCCTAGCATGAAAACGAGGTCATTGACCTAGTTATTTGAAATTAAAATTTAACACAAGAATCATAAGTGTACAATGTGCAATAGGCGGTTTTTCGTTCTTATCAGTGGAATTTTTTAGTCATCTGAGTAAAAGTATACCTTAATATCTATTAATATGAATAAAATGTTTTGAAAACAAAGAATAAATGTTACCTAAAAATGCCGTTTGTACTTTACGCTGTTTGTACATCACATGCACGAGTGTATAGACTATAGTGTCCGTTGGTTGTACATGTAGTATTGAACAACAGTACTAAAATATCCTAGACCTCAATACTTTTATACTTCCACTATCTTTACTAAATATTAATACATGTTTTTATGTATGATAAAATGCCACCACTTCATAACATTATGCATTTTGTACGATAGAAAACGGTATGGCGTGATTTGGGACATACAAAGGAATTACATGTACAATAAGGAAATCCAGTCTACTACTTCTGAAGGAATAGCTCGCAACTCATTTTTTTCGATAATAAATAGTTTCAACACTCTCACAAACATCTTCGCTAGCCAAGGGTTTCTGATACGCTACTCTCCTCATAAACCCTTGGCCTACGGTGAAGTCAAAAGACGGGATTGTTTTTCGTCACGTGATCTCGAATCTATCAGGTACGCACAGATTGCGTCATCGCCAGAAATAAAGACACGTGTTAAAAAAAATTAAATCAAAGTTTTTTCAAGAATAATTAAGAAGCAATAATTGAGTTATGTTTATTCATTATTTATAGAACAAATCTGAAGCTTCAATATAGATTCTTAATCACATATTTAGAAGATATTGGATGACACCATGGCTATTCATAGAATTGAATGTTATCTTACGGATCGTTGTTTTCTTGCGTTTTTCATTTCCGAGATTAAAGAGTGAAGATGTATCCCGAACGCAAATATCGTCATTTACAAAAAACAATTGCTGATTGGTCGACCTGGGTGTACTGAAATCCAATCAGAACTCTGGAAAAAAATCCCGATTTCTATGAACACCGTAGGCCAAGGGTTTATGAGGAGAGTAGCGTATCAGAAACCCTTGGCTAGCGAAGATGTCTCAGAAAGGGATATACCTATTAATGGCTGGTGGGGGGGGGGAGGGGGTCACGGGCCATGCAATTTATGAAAGGCCTGTGCTTCCCGGGAAGGGGATTGCAGATAGTTGGGTTTTTTTGGCTCACTACATATTACATTAATTCCTTAAAATTAAGAAAAGGTATGTTTGGGGTTAGGGACTACTAAATTTTCTAAAGCATTTTTTTTTCAGTTGTGCCCATCCCCCTACTAAAATGACTTTAATTCTCATGGACCAATACATATATTACATGTTTAGTATATTCTTTAAATACAGGAAATACTCGTCTGTATTGTATTGTACATTAGCCGTCCAGATTCTTTTCGTTTAACTGTGAGAATCATACATACAACACGTTCAATTGTCAGAAAAATGAAGATACAAGGAAGCTGGGATCTATTTTTTTTAATGCTGCATTCTTTACCAAGCGAGGGATTTTTGCGAAAATAAAAACAACAAAAAAGTGTCACCAGCAACTTAAACATTTTAAACCTAATAAAATATGCGAACACTGTACTAAATAAATATATTTGGAATAAATATGTCATCGGCTGCTAGTAAGTGGGGATTCTCAAAAGAAAATCCATGAGCGATTATACATGTACTTATCCGACAAAATTGTCAAAAAGTATTGAATATGTAAACTTAAGAGGGTTGTCCCAGAAAACGCGACCATTTTCAATATCTTTAGTTTTACTTTGACTATGAATTAAAAAAAATTGACATAAATCATTATCAAGAAGTCAGCTAAATAATAATAAATCAATAATAGTTTCCTAACAGGTTTTATAAATTTTTTAAAGCGAATTGAAAGAATACCTGCTGTTATGATATTCAGTCTAAACCGAAAGTTCGATTTACATGTATACCCCCCTCACCCCCCAATCCAAACCCCCTTTAAACAAAATTTCACAACAGTTACTGATAATTCATTTTCAGTCTTATTAAATATGATTTTACAGTCCTATTAAAACCAAAATATATTGTAAGGCATTTATGAATAGGACTCATTCGTCATATTTATGACGTCAGGTGTCGCTGGTGTACTAGAGGTGGTTACGTAAACGCTTTAATCACCGCGGCGCTTGTAACAATGTAAACAAATGGACGTGTCCTCGAACTTGGAGCCAAACGGAGGGGCTGAATCGATCTTTAATCGAGCTGTCACAACCGGGAGAAAGGTTTATCCGAATCTTGGGTAATTATTGTTTGTAAATAATATACATTTATGGAAACTTTCTAAGAATTATCGAGTGTAACATGCCTATATGACGAAGATAGTACAACGACAAAGCAGTGAGTTTACAATCGACGTTTTTGTAGGTTGTCAGATGTATTATCATCTTTACCACTTACACAAACACTAGATTCAAATGGAATTAGTATATGATACGAATACTCATGGCGATATTTTGGGGTTTTTTTTGTTTTTTTTTTGTTTTTTTTTACATGACAATCATTGCACAGCTAGGTTATGTAGATCTACACTGGTTACATCCCAGCAGGCATTTCAACGTTGATTCAACGTTGAATCAACGTTGCACTTCAACGTTGAATCAACGTTGATTTTTGGTTGCATATGAAAGTTGAGGCAACGTTGAGATATGACGTTGTTTCAACGTCAATTTTCAACGTTGAATAAACGTTGAAAATGGGTTGAATTTTTGGTTGATGTATGGTTGATTTTTGGTTGCAAATGAAAGTTGATGCAACGTTGAAGCTTCAACGTTGTTTCAACGTCAAATATCAACATTGAACAAATTAAAAGTGAACATTGGTTGTAATTAGGTTGAGATTTGGTTGAAATTTTTTGGTTGTACAAACGTTGATATTTGGTTGAAATCACGTTGAATTCATATTACATTTTGCTTTATAAACAAATAGGCTAGATTTCAAATTCTAATAAAAAAATTTATTCAAGTTGCGTAATATTTATATATGCTATGATCCAGTATTGCGATTGTGGGAGAATTTATGTACGTCTGTATTTTAAAGACAAACACAAATTCGGATTAAATCACTGACTCTCAAAAATCACTGCTTGACAAAATTTATATTCCTAGTGTAAAGCATGTAAAGGGGGTCACAGTAATTACATCCAGGTTCTTCAAAGTTAGCGTCTGTCCTACACTACTAAGTTCCACAAAGTGGCGGATCCATTGATTTTCATCGCGCATATAGTGAAGTCCCACGAATGAAAGAAATGAACAGTAGAATCCATCCACTAAAGCAAAAGCCTATAAATAAAAGAAATAAAGATGTTAAAGTCATTTGTTCGATACAATGTACGTTACATGTTTAATATTTCAAACGATAAAAATAAATATATACTTGAATGATTTAAAAGAATCAGATAAAGGAATATATTCCGGTACTTGGATTTAATTAACATGATTAAAAGAATTACAGTTGACTTCATCTTAAATTTGTATTAGTATGCTTATAAATAATTAATACTAAAGAAAAGTGTTACAGACATACATAGACATAGTGTACTTACAAAATGTTTCATTCCTTTGTATAATTTTCACGGGCGAAGAATCTGATGCAATCAAGGCTGACTAATCAATTCGGGATCAATTCCACCACCGGTTGATTGAACCTTACTACAATTAATTAAATTGTATAATGTATCTGTAAACTTATATTTAATTATAATAACCAAATGAATATCATGAAACCACATATAATACACGGGCAAAGGATGTGCATTTCACTCATATTTCAAATATACTTAGAAAACAAGAATTAAATGATGTACAGATACTAAAAATCTTAATTTTTTAAATCCATGAAAAGGAAATAATACTTACTGAGCAGAAGTTGATATTCCAGGCTTAATCCTTGTGTATATAGCTTGAAAATACATTAAATATGAACAGCAAGGAGACGCGCACTTCTTGTCCATTAGTTGAATTCAAATTTTGACCTAGATAAGCTGCAAACGGCTATACTCTGCCCAGCAAGAAAATTGCATAACAAGGTTATCCTGACACTGAAACTGACCAACTAAGCGAGAGGCACTCCTTATCTGATATCTCGAAGGTTTTTGGGGAGTGGATCTTAAGTAATGCTACTTGACCGGGGTTATTTGTCAGTGCGAAAATTGTTATGTGTTTATTTGAATTTTTTTTATATTTTGTGAAAAAAAGATTATAGAATTAATACACACAACAAAAGCACAATCTAATAAAATAAGACTTCTTAGATTCGCTCTGTATACGTATAATCTGCGCAAGAGTATACGACTCGAATCCATACGAGTCAAATTTTAAGAACATTAATTCGGAATAAATAATTATTTTTATTAACTCTATAGTAACATTGAATTACAGTGAGATGTTGGATAAAGATGTCATTATTTATTAAAAGCTTATATTTATCATGTTTTTTAAATATGTAAAAAAAATAATAATAATAAAAACTGTATTCACAATTCATTTAAATAAACCCTTTTTTGAAACATAATTGTAATGAAGTGTTAAATGTAGATGCCATACTTCATATAAACTCATATTTAAAATTTTATAATGGTACTAGCTGTTAACACAACTCTTTTGAGTAAATCAATTGATAATGCATGCGTTTCATTTATTATGTATATAAATTATATATATAATATTTTCTAACAATACATACAGCTGTGTGTATATTGCGAAAAATCGCATAGATTATGAGTTAAAGACACCTTAATATTTTGACATTAAAAACTAAAGTGCTCAATTGAATACTCATTACCTGTTGTTTCAATGTGAAATTTTCCTAACTTTACTAAAGTTGAAAATTTGTTGCATTTTCCACGTTGTTTCAACGTTGAAATCAACAACCAGTCAACTTTGTATTTTTAAACCTTTTTTCAATTCTACAATATTAGAAAATACTCAACGTTGAAAACTTGTTGTATCTTCAACGTTGTTTCAACGTTGAAATATCAACAATCAAACGTTGAAAATATGTTGCAGCTTCAACGTTGCTTCAATGTTGAAATATCAACGAACATCAAACGTTGAGAATATGTTGCAGCTTCAACGTTATTTCAACGTTGAAATATCGACGAACATTCAACGTTGAAAATATGTTGCAGCTTCAACGTTGTTTCAACGTTGAAATATCGACGAACATTCAACGTTGAAAATATGTTGCAGCTTCAACGTTGTTTCAACGTTGAAATATCGACGAACATTCAACGTTGAAAATATGTTGCAGCTTCAACGTTGTTTCAACGTTGGAAAAAGGTTGAGGATTCAACGTTGAAACCTCAACGTTGTTTCAACGTTGAAATATAGTTGATCAACGATGCAACCTATATTCCACCTCCTTTCAACGTTGAAGCAACGTTGTGTGCCTGCTGGGATACTGTTAAAAGAGCAACGTCCCAAATGATCATCAGGGTAATTAAGTGCAACGTAATATTCATTGCAAGGCAAATACAAACTAAACATTCATTTTATTTTAGTTCATTTAAAAAATTAATGATAATAAACAAAACTAAAACAATCACAAACATCATATTTCAACCCTCACCAAAAGACTCTCCAGATCCTACATAGAGATACATTAAATGACCATTCATTGATATTGGATAAATATAATTGATTTCCAATCAGCCTCATTTGTTTGTTTTTTTTAAATTAAAAAAAAAATTGAGACTGGTACGCTTTGATGTAAGTCGCCCACATTTCGCAGTGGTTAGAGTGTCTGCCTTGTCTACAGTCGCCAAAGCTAAGAGCTGAACCTAATGTCGCAGGTTCAAATCCACTGCATTACGTGTCCTACAGATGAGACCGTCTAAACCGTGGTCCTGTTTTGCAGTAAGTGTTCGCACTAAAAAGATCCATCCCTGCTCAATGGCCCAGAGTGCCGAGAATAGGTATATTTGCAGTCTGCCATCAGCAAATGATGGTGTCTCCGTATGAGTAAAAAATTCTTAAGAGGGAAATTAGACAACAAACAAACATAGATTTGATATGTGCCCTTGTACTATATAGTGCATATGAATAATTGTGAAATTTATTTGTTCTGTACATATTTTTTTCATAGTCAGTAGCTACTTGTATACTTAGAGCATTACATCTTTGTTATAATAAAGGTAAAAATGAGTACAAATATTTTAAAGTTATCATTTGCTAGGTCCATTTTGTACAGTACCGGTATTTGTGTTTCTATAATGTGACCCTCGACAACTTAGTTTACATTTACAATTTCATTAAGTCGGAAAGATATACTCAGTAATTAAATAAAACCTGCTGCATGTAAAAATAAATAAAAGGAATATATACATGTAGTAGCTGTTATTGTACAACTAAATACAAAAAACATAATTAATTTTACAGTCCTCTGAAAAAAAAGAATTTATTATCAGAACTATGGATTGACCTCACTTAAAGGCTGACTGTATATTTGTTCCTAAATAAAAGCCTATACTGAGTAAATTGGTTATTTTTCAGTTATTTAAGAATATATTTTTTTCATTTCATTTTATTTAGGAGATCAGCAGGTAAAATAAGAAGTCAAAGCTTACAGGGAGCTTTATTATGGCTGGATGGTACATGTTACATAAAAATTCTATTTTTCCCCATCTAATTCATGAAATGGCATCCATCCTATTGTCAGTGCTGTCAGGGAAAAAGATGAACTGGTATGTAATTGCATTTGTATTTTTTTTAATAATAGAAAGTACTCATAAATTACACCTAAGCTAGGCCATCCTTAAAAAATTGTTTGTTTGGAATTGCCACCTGAAGGGTTTCAGACACAGGAGGGAGGGAGGGAAATTACTTTTTTTTTAATTGAAAACCTAATTTTACATAGATCAGACACTATATATCAGTGTTTTGTATGGTGCATGTGATACATGTAATGGGCAAAAAAAAAAAATTGATTAAATATAAAAAAATCTACCTACTTTTGGTCAATAAATTTTTTTCAGGAGGGGGCATTTCAATGAGACGGGAGGCAATTCCAAACAAACTATAATTTTATTTTGGCCTAAGCAATGCTTCAATGCTTCCAATTTTAATTCTTAAAAAAAATGCATTTCCTTTTATTATCACTAGGTGTATTACAACCTAAGACAAAGTGTTGAGATGTTTGGCAGTCCTATACATTCACAGAGAAAATGTTCTGCTGGAAATATGGGGCAACATTCAGCCTGTACACACATAGACTAGGTATGCTCATGCTTGGAAAATTCTCTAATAGAATACCGGTACAATAATCTTGTATGCAGCATCTTCAGGCTTTTCACAAACTTACAATTAAGGATTGATTAAGAATTGTATTTTAATTTGAGAAGTAGATCAATTTTATTTAAAAAATTAAAAATATTTAAAGACAGTTTAATTTACCAAAAAACAAGTGCAGTCATGATAATGCTAATTACTCTATACTAATTGCTACTCATTCTTATTTGAAGGGATTCCACCAAAAACTGAAAGAGAAAAGAAGCTGATGTACTCAAACAATCCCTGGCAAGAGAAATTAATTTGTGAAATGAAAGAATGCACAGACATAACATTTTAATATTTGTTTGTACAAAAATTGACATTGAAAGGAATTTACTGTATGTGTACTTAAAATAGCGAGCTTCATATTTTAGTTGTTTTTGAGCAGACGAGGATGTGCTAATTCATAAATACCACTAAAAATTCATTTATAAATAGAATATACGACACAAATATTTGTAGCATTAATTCAAGATTATGCCAACAACCATATCCATTGATTGCGCTAAATTTTGAAAACACCAAGTTATGTACATGTACAGTATTTTTCCAAAGCTTGAACTTTTTTCTGTTAACGATTTTGCTTATTTTATTCATGGCTGTAAATAAATAAAACAAAAAAGATTTTATTAAATATTTATACATATTTATTCCTTTCGTACTTAAATTTGAGCATGCAAGTACAATATTCTTGGAAATCAATGCTTGTGGATTTGACGAGTCTCTCTTGCCCATGGATTTTGTTAACATATTGATTGAATCTACATTATCAATGAGTTAAAATCCACAAAATTACATACCCATGAACAATTTTTCTTGTCCATGAACATTGAACCCCACAAATTAACTTGATTAAAAAGATTCCACAGAATTCATAATACATGTACAATCATTTTTAATTCTTTTTCAAAGCAAGCAAAAAGATTTTTTTTTATTTTTCTAAAAATTAAATGTGTCAAAAATTCTTAAAACTATATACTTGTGTTCTGAAATTTAAAAAGTAATAGTTGAACATCTTCTAAGCACATCTCACTTAATAGCCTAATCATGCTAATAGCTTCTACAATATGTACCAATATGAGAAAGAATCATTCGGACAGAGTCTTCAACAGCTTAAATGCTTGCATTGAATTTTTCATATCTTTGTTAAAGAATATGGCTGATCTTAAAGAAACATCCGAGTGACTGCTAGTTATCACTGGGGATACTGGTCTAAACTCCATGATGCACACTTTAGTTCACAACTCTTGAGGAACAGCTCAGTCTTTGTACATACTTCGTGTCTTGACTGCAGCCACGGAGCTGTTGGACTTGTATTGCTGGAGTTTTAAAGTCCAAAACTGGATGTCAAGTTTACTGCATCCTTTTTTAGTCTACTCTTGTCTCCTGTAAACAAGGAACTGTGCAAATACAATGTATTATTTTTGTTTTGTTATTGTATTGAGTTAAAGTAGAATATTATATAATCAATATTTATCCAGGGAAAACCAAAGACCCTACTCGTACTAATCAAGCGGGGAAAAATATCTCATTATTTCTGGTGTTGAAATTTAAAATATATAATAAAATTAAACATTGAACTAAAATCATAAATTGCAGTACTTATTCCATTTGCTAACAAATCAAGTTAATTGTATGGGGACATAAACACATCATACACTCTATTTGTACATTTTTAAAAGAAAACTACCACTGTACATTAAATTAATCAGAATTAATCCTATTACATTTACCAGTGCTGTGTCTGTCTGTTTAACAACAAAATCACAAAGCAACAAAAGCTTTAGACATTTTAATTAAATTTCAAACTTTTGAAATAATATTTTAAATAATATTAATTGCCATGTGTCAAGCTATTAAGACACTATTAATATAAATAGTTCAAATGTCCTTTGATGAAAAAAAAAAAAATAAAAAGGGAGTTCACTTTTTTCCATTTAAGAAAAAGTTAAAAAGTCACAAAGTCAATATGTTTTATACTATATATAGTAACTCATTTTTATAGTTAAATCTATACGATTTAATGACATATACTTCGTAAAATACTAATTAAAATTAATCAAAATCAATATTTTACCAAAAATCTAATCCTTAATATCGCCGACTCCAAAATTCTGGTGACAAGCGACATCGTGTTTACCAAGTCAGGGGTGCGTCGATTTACCCAAAAGGACCCAAAAGGACCCAAAAGGAACCCAAAAGGACCCAAAAGGACCCAAAAGGAACCCAAAAGGACCCAAAAGGAACCCAAAAGGACCCAAAAGGAAATCAAAAGGACTCAAATAAATATATTAATATGCATTGAAAATTAATAATTTGAATTAAATTATGAATATTATATTATAAATTTACCTAAATGTTTGCAAAAACATACATTTATATTGTTGCAACTTTTCTCAAAGAAATAACATACGACTTTTATTACACATCAAACACTAAATCTGGTCAGATACGCTTTGATTTCTTTTAGCTGAAATTAACAAAGTACACTGTATTATTCTCTTTCTCCTTTGTTTTACCATATCTTACTATACGATATTTAATAAATAAAGAAATAAAGTTTTATTTAATGACATGTTCTAGGCATGTGGTATCGGGGATGGGTGGGGGGGGGGGCGGTGGGGGACCTCCCAACCCCACCCCAAACAAAAACTTTACCCTAAAAAACTTGTTTTAGTTTTAATAAAATATGAAAGTATTTATTATATATCCATTTAATTTCTTTATTTCAAGTCCTTTTGGGTCGTTCTTAATTTCCTTTTGGGTCCTTTTGGGTTCCTTTTGGGTCCTTTTGGGTTCCTTTTGGGTCCTTTTGGGTTCTTTTGGGTCCTTTTGGGTCCTTTTGGGTAAATCGACGCACCGCCAAGTCAGCTGATCATCTTCATGACCGATTTAGCGTCACTTTTCGTCTCAAACAAATGTCTGGATCTGAAAATAATGAGTGTCCGCATCCTCTACAACATCCTGGCACACCACAGAGGGTTGACATTCTTTACAAATTAATTAATTTGGAGGTATACGTCCAGGAGAAACCACAGTGTCTCGCCACGCTACCATTTGTTTACACTCAGTCAAGCGCTTGACAAATTCAAACGTTTGCGTAACCACCTCTAAAACCGCAGCGCCACCCGACGGTTAATGACGTGAATGGATACTATTATATGAACTCATTCAACTCATAATGGAGGGAAAGGGGGGGGGGGCATTTAAATTTCCAGTGTTCCTCTGTCACCAAAGTTTACCGGAGTCAGCGAAAGAGTGACGAACCACATCGGGTAGATCTTGATGTAAATATACAAGAAAAGAACTTCAATGACGCACATTGCAGTTGTAAAGCTGGGGTAGCCTAGTTAAACGATTTATGTTCAGTGACTTTACTGCGTTTTTATTGTGTTTACACGTTAAATATTAATTAAGTTGCATTTTTTCTGATTAACCTCTTGAAATTTTGGTTATCATGCAGTTTTCATTATGTTTATATTT